TGAAAGTTTTTATAAAAACTAACAGTTTTGAAATTAGGGTCTAATATTTGGCTATACTTGATAAATACTCATTAAGAATAGAGAAAATAATATTTAATAAATAGTTGATTGAATCATATTATTGCTAGCCTATTGTGAGGCTAAATTTAAAAAAAAATCATTTGACAATTAATTTAATCACATTATTATCCGTGTGCGAAAGATCTTTTTTATATCTGACATTACACACCTCTTAAGATGTTTTAAACGTGTTTAAAAATAGAGAAAATGATATTTAATAAATAACTGATTGAATCACATTATTGCTAGTCCATTGTGAGGCTAAGCCCACCCCCTTCCCTTAGTATAGATAATATCGTTTGTTAAAAAAATCATTTGATAACTTATTTAATCACATTGTTATCCACGTGCGAAAAACCTTTTTTATAACCGGCATTACACGCCTCTTAAGATGTTTTGAATGTGTTTAAAAATAAAGAAATTGAATCACATTATTGCTAGCTTATTGTAAGGTACTAATTTAAAAAAAATAAAAAAGTGAATTATTAAAGAAATACTGTTAAATGACGAAAATGACCCTACGTTATTGGATGTATTATTTTGGAATGCCTTTGAAGTTTTTTGTTTTGGGGACTTTTTTGTCCAAATATTTTTATTGAAGCATGGTGACACCAAATCAGTATTCACTTTTTCCATTCTATTTATATATAATAGATTTCTTTTATACAAGATAGTGTAGTGTTTTTTTTTTTTTTTGCCTTTGGAAAAAATGATATTATCTATACTAAAGGAATGAGGATTAGTTTCACAATTGACCAACAATAATATAGCTCAAATGTACTTTTGACGAGAATCGAATCTAACATCTCTAAATTACAAACGAAGAATACTAACACTAAATCATAATACTAAGTGACAAATAATGCACTATTTAAACACATTATTATTATATATGGCCTCGGTAACCCCACTGAGAAAAAAGATTAGTTTCAAGACACGAGCTGTCCTTATACTGCCAATTTTTCTGGTGACAATAAATTTGGGATTGAGCATATATTGGATTGGCCAACGGATCTAACCCGACCAACCCAACCGATGCCCTGTGTTGAGATACTTGGTCTCTCTGCACCCAAACGCAGAGACCAGTCCCCTTCTCAGTTCAAGCCCAACGCGATAAACCCCCACACCAGTCCGTCTCCGGCGACTTCGACGGCTTCGAAGCAGCTGCGACGGCGGCGCCACCATCTCTTCTCAATTCCACCTCAGATTTCGACTAATCTTTCAGACTTGGACGCAACCGCAACCAAAGTCAGTTTCATCTCCTCCTCCTCATTTTTTATATAATTATTTGGTTATGTATTCAGGCTTCTGATTCAAAACCCTAGCTCCTCATGATTCGTGAACCCTGATTTGGATTACTTCATCTGCTCTTACCTTTGCGTTTCCAAGTTGAGATATGACATTTGGGCTTTTGCCGTTGTTGTTTGAATTGTTTGAAGAATTAAACTTTTTACGAACCCGAATTTCAGAAAATTAAAGAATTTATAGTTTTAGGTTCATTAGATTAGCGATGAATACGTTTCCTGCGGTTAGGGGGTTGATATAATTTTGGTGGGTGTTGTTCCTCGGAGAATGCTACTTCTATTTGTTGGCCAAGCTTGCTTTTTCTTTACTTCATTTTGCATTTTAAATATTTATGTTGTCGAAATAACAATGGCCATTTGTATGTCGAAATACGATTTGTTTGCATTCTTTAATTTTCATTTGCTTGAATTTGATGGGGGGTTTGCTCGAACTCCATGAGCACAAACATTCTTTTGCTCAATGACTCATTTTTACTACTGCGGATGCGTTTGGCAGGCATGGTTTTCTTGAGCTGGGGCAGGCCAACTCCTCAGGAACAAAAAGCTTGCATTGACAGGTAAACAACATTGCTCTTAATATATATATTCATTTCTGCTACCGACGAATTGGAATTGAAGCCTTATTTATGCATTTGTGCGTTATGCTTATAACCAGGTCAGGCAGCTTTAACTATGACCCTAAATTCAAAGGAGCTACTGCTAAGTCCCTGTCTTCCCTCCAAGAAGATAAAGGGCTCTCAAAAGATGGTTTCTTGTTAAACCATTCTCGCAATTTGGTTGGTTCGGGTCTGGACGCTTATGAAAAGGGCAAGATGGCTCTTCAGGACTGGAGGTCAGCCAATGTCGTTTCTAGATTAAAGGAATCTCAGTTGAGAAAGGAAAACGTTATCATATGACAGAATCTGTGTGGTTTTGCAGGCATTTTGGATTGAATTGGGCATTTGTTGATCCGAAGACGCCAGTTCAAAATGGAGTCAAGTTTTGTGTTTGCGTCAAGGAGTTTCTGCCGTGGGTCATGATGCCTCTCCAGGTTGTATATGTAAATGAAAATAAGAGAAGTAAACAGGCCATGGCATCTTTCCGTTTTGGAGGTGGTACCCTTCAAGGTCATCTGCTGGTTAGTTCTTTTTCACTTGGTTCAGTCATGCCTTATATTTTCTTCGTGAATTTAAGATCAAGAGGTGTTTAACTTGGAAAGAGAAGATTATAAATCATAGAGTTATATGAAAATCCAAACTGATTTGTGGTCCACAAATTTTGTGGAACGTAGGCTGGGGAAGAACGCTTCTCAATTGAACTGGATGAGAACAACCAAGTGTGGTATGAAATACTTTCCTTCTCGAAACCAGCTCACCTGTTGTCATTCATTGGATACCCATATGTAATGCTTAAGCAGAAGTACTTTGCTCATCAATCTACTAATGCAATGATGAAACATCTGAATGCTTCAAAATCCTAGTGTATTGATATGCTAATGAAATCCCTTTTGTAATAAAAGCTTTCATTGTCGGTTTCTTATCTTCTTATAGTTTAATTGACGGATATCATTATGACTCATCGTATTGACTCTGGTGTATGTTTTTGTTAAATTGATTGATTTAACATGAATTTCACTTCTTCTTATAGTTTAATTGACGGATATCATTATGACTCATCGTATTGACTCTGGTGTATGTTTTTGTTAAATTGATTGATTTAACATGAATTTCACTTCTATTTTCTTGTTAAGCATCGTCTTTGGAACTTTTTTTGTTGTTATTAGAGACATTAGATGCGGTCTCATTTCGAAATAGTAGCTACCCCTCAATTATCACAGCCAAACCGGTTTTGAATGCTGTTTGGTTGTTACTGCTTTCGTATGCTAATAGAAACATTCTATTTGGTTGAGTTCCTTGGAGTTGGGAGTATTGTCTCCTTACCTCTTTTAACCAAGTTGCTCTACGTCTGTATGGAATACAACGGTGAGAGATCAGTTTCCCGGAGTCAAAGCTCCTAACCGCATGTCCAGCTTCGGTTTGATCAAGAAGTGGGGGTGCCAAAGCGAGAGTAGCACAGCCTCGATAAAGTATTTGGTAGTGGAAAGTGGAATAGGATCCTCTCCGGATCTTCTTTGTGGGGATCCGGAGGATCAATCAATCGTGTTCTTTCATCGTATATCATGCGGTTAGAAATTATTTAAAATTTAAAATTTAAAATTGAATATAAATAGTATCTAAAGAAAACTGACCACACGATGTACGATGAGCGGACACTATTGATTGATCTCCGGATCCCCACAAAGAGGTTCCGGAGAGGATCCTTGTCCGTGGCAAGTCTTGAGCAGAAGCAGAGAAGCAGTAATCCTCACCCAAAAACAATATTCGATCATTTGAAAACTTTAGATTGATTATATATGGAATAACTAGCTGGATGTGATACATTTGAAATGATTATATGCAAGGAATCGTTTTATTTTTCACTTCTTCTAAGCATACATGGAGGATATTATGGGCATGTTTAGAAGTGCTTTTAAAATGATGGAAAACGTTTTTGGTGAAAATATTTTTGGGTTGTAAAAGTATATGAAGTGCATTTTGGAAGAAATCAGTTATGTGTTTCTTTTAGGAAACATTTCAAATGCTTTTTGAAGATTCACTAACATTTTTACTAAGGTATTGGTTTCAAAAGTGTTTATAATCCATTTTAAAAGTACTTTTAAACACATATGTGCCAATCAACTAAAAACATATATTATTAAATTTATACTATCTTTATTTTAGAAAAACACAAAATGACATGTAATTTAAATAAATTGAAAACTCTTGACGTGTTTATTGGTCAAAGTACTTTGATCAAATCTTAAAAAGAAACATATCTAAACTCTATAACTTGTAAAGAGAAGTGGGACTTGGCTACAATGCGTTTATATATTTAATACAATCACCAATTAACGATCTAATATGATAAGATGACCTATAACATATTATCTTACCGCTTATGGGTACTTAGCCAGTCCCCAGAAAATGAATGCAGCTAACAAAAAGTAAAAGACAAGCCAGAATATTAAACAACCATTCCGGCTCAAAGCAATTCCACAAATGATTCTCATCCATACGGGTGGCAAAAGAAGCCACACGATGCACAAGGAGTAAATAAAAACTCGATAGAACTCAATTGTTGTCGAATATGGTGAATATCCCATAGATACCCTCTATTGCTGCCTCCAGAGCCAAGACTCCATTTAGCATCTCCACCAAGACCTTCAAATCCGTCTCCAACTGAACAAACTTGAATCCCTTTTCCACACAAGCCATCAATGCCAATCTCATTGCTTTTGCTTCCGCCATCAAACTAGTGCCACATAATAAATCTCCCATACCTCTAGCACATTTAAAAATCCCAGCAAAATCCCTAGCAACCCATCCAATGCCACCCATTCGTATAATTTATTCAGTTCGACGTTCAAAAATTAAGAACGGATGTAAAACTAAAAGAAAAAAAAAAACTAAAAATTGTTTGTGAAAATAATTGAAATGATCAAAACACCACTCGAGACGGCGAGAGTCAATTTATTAACCGTACACTATAACAAAAAAAAAGAGCTAATTAATATTCTTTTTCACGCGAAAAGTGTTAGTTTCGATTATAAGCTGGGGACGAAATAAAAGAAAACATTTTATATTTGCGCTGCTGAGGTTGCAGAGCTTCTCTGTAAATACACAAGCGTCGATCTTCGAAGCTCACCAGGACCATGAACGCTCCAATAACGGGTCAGCCTCTCTCTCTCTTGACAGCTCTCGTTGTATCATAGAATAATACGGGTTTTAGCAACAAAGTGGTTAATTAAGGGTGTACCGTGATCGGTATTTCTGACAAGTGATAGTGAAGTATTTGCAACATGGCTTATGAATTGCATCGCCCTTGATTGCTTTGGTTCCTTTCTTTTTTCGTTTCTTTTTGGTTTTGTTTTTGTTTAATCTGCATTTCATCACCAAACAAGAATGTTCTTGTCTAACTTTAATACTCTCTGTCGCTTGGCACCGGTAAATCTCGGCCGATAAATTGCGGAATGGGGAGGTTTAAGGATATAGAAAGAGGAGAAGAAATGCAGCGGGTGCCATTGAAGCATGCTGACAAGTTTTGGGGGGCCATATTGAATCATTGATGCAGTTGAAGGTTTCAGGTTTAATTTGATTATCGGGCAACAGTTTAAGGTGGATGGTGATTTATAAAATAGATGATGAAAGTTTTAGATTCGGTTGGAATCAGCCAACATGGAATTAACTCTTTCAAAACCCAAGGCCAAACCCGATTATTGTTTATTTGTCATGTTACTCAGATTCTATTATCGTTTGTTCTTATTACTCAGATTATTGTAATTTCTCATACATTTATGTGCCATGTTTCTGATAGAGTCGTTGCATTTTGTGCCTTCGAGAATCGCAGGCAGGGGCAGATGTACAAGCCAACCACAACCCTTGATGAGGGCTGTGTAAATAGGTTATCTTAACCCACCAAATCAGGACCCATGCGACTATTCGAAAGCTCCAAACTCAGCCTCTTCGAGTTCAAAGCTTCTGTATTATGCTCACAAGTGACCCCTTTTGGCCCCTTCAATTCCTTTGTACAAAAAAGATGGCTAAAGCCTGTAATTTCGGCCCGAACACGCTTAGAAGACCAAACAAGGGACTCGAAGCTAGACAAACTCACAACCCACCTCAAGAAGCTCGATATCATCCTAAAGCTCCATGACCTCATGTCCAGTCGGAAGCGCGGACCCTTTGTGTCCTTGCAACTGATGTCTCGATGGAGGAACCTTGTGGGGCTTAATGTAGGCATTGGCGCCTTTGTTCACAAATACCCACATGTTTTTGAGGTGTTTAAACATCCCGTACGATGCAGTTTGTGTTGCAGGATCAGTAAGAAAATGTGGGGTTTAATAGAGGAAGAGGCAATGGCTATGAAACAATGGGAACTCAAAGTTGTTCATCGTGTAAAGAAGTTGTTGATGATGTCTGTGAGTGGCACTCTTCGTGTCCATGCTTTGAGGTTGGTCAGGAGAGAATTTGGATTGCCCGAGGATTTCAGAGAATCTATCCTTGGTAAATATTCAAAGGATTTTAGGTTGATTGATTTAGAGGTTGTAGAACTGATTAGTAGAGATGAGAATTTGGGTGTTGCTGAAATTGAGAAATGGCGAGAGAAGGAATTTAAAGAGAAGTGGTTGAGTGAGTTTGAGACAAAGTACGCCTTCCCTATAAATTTCCCAACAGGGTATGAGATCCAGGCAGGGTTTAGAGATAAGTTGAAGAATTGGCAAAGGCTTCCTTACGTGAAGCCTTATGACAGGAAAGAGGTTGTCCGCATTCGTACTTGTGGAGGGATAGAGAGTTATGAGAAACGGGCGGTTGGTATTCTTCACGAGTTCTTGAGTTTGACAGTAGAGAAGATGGTTGAGGTTGAAAGATTATCTCATTTTCGGAGAGATTTTTCTGTGGATGTTAATGTGCGGGAGCTTATCTTGAAGCACCCTGGAATATTTTACATATCAACCAGACGTAATAGTCAAACTGTTTTTCTTAGAGAGGCTTATAGTAAGGGGTGCCTGATTGAGTCCAATCCGATATATGATGTTCGGAGGAAAACTTTAGATCTTATTTTCCTAGGGCGTCGAAATACTAGACAAATGCCAGCTCCAAAAGAAATTAAGGAGTTCAAAGTAGATGGGGATCGCAAAATGGATGGTGACTGGGTTATTCCAATGTTAGAGAACTTGGACAATGGAAGTTGAAATTGGTAATTCAAGGTTTCACATATACAATGAGAGTCCTTGAAACTAGTGGAATGGATATAATTATTGGGGGATGGAAATGTTGATCATTTGATGATGATCCATATTTTTAAACACGTGTCATCTGAAAAATAACTTGAGTTGGACTCTTCAACGAAGAACCCTCACAAACCACTTGAGAAGAGTGAACCTGCGGACGATGTGGTAATGACGCTTCCCTCTTAAGAGATCTCTGTTGATATTTATTTTGTCTTAGATGTTCATAAACATATATCATTTTTGTGGTCGAAAAAAGGATCTTCTACTAGGTCTGATCAGTTTTACTCTGTAGTTCCAATGCCGCATCATTGCACCTTCTTAGCTATTAAGCAAAACTTGTTTATTCGTATAATTAATTTTCTTCTAGTAATAGCTCGCTAACCACCAATATAGCTTTTGGAGGATTATTTATGCCACATTCCCTATCCATCTCATAATTTATGTAGTGCTGAAACCAGGATATGTGTGAACATGAGAATCTCAGATAGTCGTGAACTCTAAGAAAGTCTTAAATACTTGTACATGCCATATTTACCTTTATTTATGCCGGCGAGTCATATCTTCTTACTTGGGAAATACTGTCCTTCTTTCTTGTTAGTTTTTGCATAGATCCATGTGAAATTGTTTTGGTCCAAACTAAGACAGAGAGGAAAAAGAGGTTCAGAGTTAGGTTAATTTTTGGATTTGAAAGGTGTTATCGTTTTCAAATCGTCTATGGTGATGCACTGTTGCTTCTTCTTAATAGCTATTTTCCTTTTTAAGATCATCAATAACATTTATAGAAAAAACATACATTTCTACATAGGCAGATGTAACTCAAATGCTTAACATATATTCTTTAATAATTGTATTCACCAATTCTAATGACACAAGAGGGTGGTTTTCTGAAAAACTATTATTTTTTGTTACCAAACTAAAACATAACCCAATTGAAGATTGCTTTATCTAAGAGTTTTCTAGTATCTCTCTTATTTGGTGGTATTCAAAAGAACTTGAAATGTAGTGGCATGGTGCTTACATGGAGCCATGGATGTCTCACTCTGGACGGGTTTTATTGTTTCTTCCTTCCTTCTAACATTAAGTGATTAACACCGTCCATCTGGTTAAATTGGTTGGAAAAACTGATTCTAGGTTGGAAAGAGATGATACAAGAGGTCCAAATTGTTATGGTTGATGCTTTTAGGTTTGTCCTGTAAACTCTCTTTATACTCGTATGCCTTCATTGATGAATTGTTTTATATTAGAAGGTTATATACCAAAACTGACTTCTTGCCTTGAACATGACAATGGTTATATCTTAATCTAATATAATTCAGTAAAGTGTATGACAGTCAAAATGTTATGGTGCAGATCATACTAGGACGTAGTATTATAGGTCCGAAGGTATTTGGTGGTTATTCAGCTTCTTTGACCTTGAAACTATACAAGCTTTTGTGTTTGTCATTTCATTTGGGAAATTTTATCTCTTCTTCTACAACAACAACAACAACAACAACAAAGCCTTTTCCCACTAAGTGGGGTCGGCTATATGAATCCTAGAACGCCATTGCGCTCGGTTTTGTGTCATGTCCTCCGTTAGATCCAAGTACTCAAGTCTTTTCTTAGGGTCTCTTCCAAAGTTTTCCTAGGTCTTCCTCTACTCCTTCGGCCCTGAACCTCTGTCCCGTAGTCACATTTTCGAACCGGAGCGTCAGTAGGCCTTCTTTGCACATGTCCAAACCACCGGAACCGATTTTCTCTCATATTTCCTTCAATTTTGGCTACTCCTACTTTACCTCGGATATCCTCATTCCCAATCTTATCCTTTCTCGTGTGCCCATACATCCCACGAAGCATCCTCATCTCCGCTACACCCATTTTGTGTACGTGTTGATGCTTCACCGCCCAACATTCTGTGCCATACAACATCGCTGGCCTTATTGCCGTCCTATAAAATTTTCCCTTGAGCTTCAGTGGCCTACGACGATCACACAACACGCCGGATACACTCTTACACTTCATCCATCCAACTTGTATTCTATGGTTGAGATCTCCATCTAATTCTCCGTTCTCTTGCAAGATAGATCCTAGGTAGCGAAAACGGTCACTTTTTGTGATCTTCGCTAGATTGCTCCGGTCATTAGTGTGGATAAGTATATAAATGGATAGAGATAGGAAAGCAAACACAAGATGTACGTGGTTCATCCAGATTGGCTATGTCCACGGAATAGAGGAGTTCTCATTAATTGTGAAGGGTTTACACAAGTACATAGGTTCAAGCTCTCCTTTAGGGAGTACAAGTGAATGATTTAGTACAAATGACATTAGGAAATATTGTGGGAGAATGATCTCGTAACCACGAAACTTCTAAGTACCGGAGTGTGGTATCGTCTTGACTTTCCTTATCTGTCTCATAGGTAAATGTGGCATCTTCTCTGGAAGTACTCTTCCTCCATCCAGGGGTGGTATCTGTAACTGGTGGAGATGCACAAGGTAATGTATCAATGTCACTTGAAGCTTACTTGTAGTTTCAGGCTTGGTCAAGCGCGATACAAACCATGTAGTAGGAGTCCCCCAAGTCGCCGAGCTAGGGGATCTGCTGAAAAAGGTAACAGACAAGGTAAGCAATCAGAGCTCCGGCTGATTGTTCACATTCTCCCTATCTTGTAGGCAGCATGAAGGATAAAGAGAAGAAAAATGAGAAGAGATGATATGAGATACTTTTGCTTTTGAAGAAGTAACTTTCCACATGCTTATTCTTGAACTGGGCTGGAGGGTTTTCTGGTTTCCTCCAGAGTATAAGGCCGACTGAAGAATTTGAGGGTCAAAACAAGTCCATCAAATCTAGAGTACGTTCGACCCTGCTGATATGGGATACTTTTGCTTTTGACAGAGTAGTGGATGTATCGGCACGTGTGCTGTTACGCTTGTCTCCACATGCTTCCTTGTATCCTTCTCACTTGCCCTATCTGTTCCTCAGGCAGATGCGGTATCTTCCCTGGAAGCATAAGATGTTGAAGATGAGTACTCGAGAGCAATGCCAGGTAAGTAATCAGGTAAGGGGTTCCAGGCAGTCAGTTCCTGGCTGGAAGCTTGATTCCAAGTGCTGACTGATTGCTCTCTTTCTCCTTGTCTTGCAGGTAAGAACAAGGCCAAAGGAAAAGACAGGGAAAAAGCATGATATGGGATACTCTTGCTTTTAACCCTGATGATATGAGATATTCTTGCTCTAGTATAGCTTGTTTACAGAGGTATTATCGGGGGGAAAGAAAGCTGAATATTTCGAAAGGCTTCGTTGGGAGTGCCCTCTCAGATAAGAGGAAGGGTTGAGCATTTTTGCAGATCTGCCTGTCCGTTGGGAATGGAGGTCGACATATATAGGAGTCTCCCTAACATCAAGTAATAATGCTATTCCTTTACCCTACTTGGTCATAGCACGGTAGTGGGAGCTGCCAGCTTCACAAGTTTTAACTCTGTCAGAGCACTTTGAAAAAGTGGTTTGTGGTATCTGGAAAGTTGATGTTGCGTGTGAAGATTACAGACAAGCTTTATCCAATGAGATCCGGCTCTTGAAGTTGGGAAAGTGGTGCCTCTTTGGTTTTCGAACAAGCAATCCTGTCGGGGATCTGACTCTCGAGATTCGGAGAACGATGCCTCTTCGATTTTTGAGAAAGCAGTCCTGCTGGGGGTCTGGCTCTCGAGATTCGAAGAGCGGTGTCTTCAATTTTTGAGAAAGTAATCATGTTGGGAGTCTGGCTCTCGAGATTCGTAGAGCGGTGCCTCTTCGATTTTGGAGCAAGCAATCTTGTTGGGAGTGTTTTCTCGAATGCGAGTAAAGGTTGGGCATGTTTGCTAGTCTACCTTGCCACGAAGCACAGAGGTTGACACACAGGGACTTTCCAATTATCCAGCAGTGGTACTGTTCCTTTACCCTCTCTTCGATTTTTGAGAAAGTAATCATGTTAGGAGTCTGGCTCTCGAGATTCGGAGGGCGGTGCCTCTTCGATTTTGGAGCAAGCAATCTTGTTAGGGGTGTTTTCTCGAATGTGAGTAAAGGTTGGGCATGTTTGCTAGTCTACCTTGCCACGAAGCACAGAGGTTGACACACAGGGACTTTCCAATTATCCAGCAGTGGTACTGTTCCTTTACCCTCTCTTCGATTTTTGAGAAAGTAATCATGTTGGGAGTCTGGCTCTCGAGATTCGGAGGGCGATACCTCTTCGATTTTGGGGCAAGCAATCTTGTTGGGAGTGTTTTCTCGAATGTGAGTAAAGGTTGGGCATGTTTGCTAGTCTACCTTGCCACGAAGCACAGAGGTTGACACACCGGGACTTTCCAATTATCCAGCAGTGGTACTGTTCCTTTACCCTTGTGGGTAATAATATGGTAGCTAGGCCTTCAAAATTTATGTGTCTAAACTTTGTTAGTGTTGTTTCTTTGCTATTCTTTTACCCTTCTTGGTCAGAGCGATGTAGTGCAAGCTTCACGTGTCTCAACTTTGTCAGAGAACTTTGGCAAAGTTATATGTGGTACCTATGAGCTACTGTTGCGTGTGGGAAGTGGGTGATTGAACAGTACGATTCATGTGCTTTCTACTTCGCCAGAAATCTTCGACATAATGCCCATAATTTCCGCAAAGCTGAGTGTGCGTGTGACAGGTGCTGAGAAGGCTGGAAAAGTAGTCTCAACTTTGTCAGAGAACTTTGGCAAAGTTATATGTGGTACCCATGAGCTACTGTTGCGTGTGGGAAGTGGGTGATTGAACAGTACGATTCATGTGCTTTCTACTTCGCCAGAAATCTTCGACAGAATGCCCATAATTTCCGCAAAGCTGAGTGTGCGTGTGACAGGTGCTGACAAGGCTGGAAAAGTAGGTGCCTCTTCGATTTCTGAGATCGGCCCTCGTGGTCTCTGAGCAGCCCAGCTTTTGAGAAAGCAAACGCCTCTTCGATTTCTGAGATCGACCCTCGTGGTCTCTGAGCAGCCCAGCTTTTGAGAAAGCAAACGCCTCTTCGATTTCTGAGCAGGCGCCTCTTCGATTTCTGAAGCTTCGTCGAGTGCAGATTTTTATAGGGGCTGACATTAAGTTCCAAAGCACACTTGAATATCCACCAGTAGAAGCTCCATTCTTGCACTTCTAAGATCTTGATTTGTCCGACCTCTTCTCTCTTCAACACCTTTGAAAATGTCTGGCCCCTCCGACCGTCGTTTTGACTTGAACCTTGTTGAAGAGGCAGCCCCGCCTTCTCCAGACAACATATGGCGCCCATCCTTCATCTCCCCTACTGGTCCTCTTACCGTTGGGGATTCCGTGATGAAGAATGATATGACCGCTGCGGTAGTGGCCAGGAACCTTCTTACTCCCAAAGATAACAGACTACTTTCCAAACGGTCTGATGAGTTGGCTGTTAAGGATTCTCTGGCTCTTAGTGTTCAGTGTGCAGGTTCTGTGTCTAATATGGCCCAACGCCTATTTGCTCGAACCCGCCAAGTTGAATCATTGGCGGCTGAAGTGATGAGTCTCAAACAGGAGATTAGAGGGCTTAAGCATGAGAATAAACAGTTACACCGGCACGCACATGACTATGCTACAAACATGAAGAGGAAGCTTGACCAGATGAAGGAATCTGATGGTCAGGTTTTACTTGATCATCAGAGATTTGTGGGTTTGTTCCAAAGGCATTTATTGCCTTCGTCTTCTGGGGCTGTACCGCGTAATGAAGCTCCAAATGATCAACCTCTGATGCCTCCTCCTTCTAGGGTTCTGTCCAGTGCTGAGGCTCCGAATGATCCCCCTCCGGTGCCTTCTCTTTCTGGGGCTCTACCGACTGCTGAGACTTCTCCTAAGCAACCTTTGTGAAGACTTCCTCTTGTTTGTTTATTTTGATTCAAGTATATGTACATATTTGTAACTTATCAGGGATATCAATAAATAAGCTTTCCTTCATTTCAACGTATTGTGTTAAATCACCAAAGCCTTCTTCGCTAAGTTCTTTGAATTTTCTTTTGTTGAAGCTTGTATGTTGAAGCTTTGTGAGTGGAGCATGTAGGTTGAGGTAGTGTTCCCTTAATTTCCCGAGCGAGGATAACTTCTCGGTTGGAGACTTGGAAAATCCAAGTCACTGAGTGGGATCGGCTATATGAATCTTAGAACGCCATTGTGTTCTGTCCTGTGTCATGTCCTCCGTTAGATCCAAGTACTCTAAGTCTTTTCTTAGGGTCTCTCTCAAAGTTTTCCTAGGTCTTCCTCTACCCCTTCGGCCCTGAACCTCTGTCCCATAGTCGCATCTTCTAATCGGAGCGTCAGTAGGCCTTCTTTGCACATGTCCAAACCACCGTAACCGATTTTCTCTCATCTTTCCTTCAATTTCGGCTACTCCTACTTTACCCCGGATATCCTCATTCCTAATCTTATCCTTTCTCGTGTGCCCACACATCCAACGAAGCATCCTCATCTCCGCTACACCCATTTTGTGTACGTGTTGATGCTTCACCGCCCAACATTCTGTGCCATACAGCATCGCCGGCCTTATTTGCCGTCCTATAAAATTTTCCCTTGAGCTTCAGTGGCATACGGCGGTCACACAACACGCCGGATGCACTCTTCCACTTCATCCATCCAGCTTGTATTCTATGGTTGAGATCTCCATCTAATTCTCCGTTCTTTTGCAAGATAGATCCTAGGTAACGAAAACGGTCGCTCTTTGGTATTTCTTGATCTCCGATCCTCACCCCTAACTCGTTTTGGTCTCCATTGCACTGAACTTGCACTCCATATATTCTGTCTTTGATCGGCTTAGGCGAAGACCTTTAGATTCCAACACTTCTCTCCAAAGGTTAAGCTTTGCATTTACCCCTTCCTGAGTTTCATCTATCAACACTATATCGTCTGCGAAAAGCATACACCAAGGAATATCATCTTGAATATGTCCTGTTAACTCATCCATTACCAACGCAAAAAGGTAAGGACTTAAGGATGAGCCTTGATGTAATCCTATAGTTATGGGAAAGCTTTCGGTTTGTCCTTCATGAGTTCTTACGGCAGTCTTTGCTCCTTCATACATATCCTGTATAGCTTGGATATATGCTACTCGTACTCCTTTCTTCTCTAAAATCCTCCAAAGAATGTCTCTTGGGACCCTATCATACGCTTTTTCCAAATCTATAAAGACCATGTGTTAATCCTTTTTCCCATCTCTATATCTTTCCATCAATCTTCGTAAGAGATAGATTGCCTCCATGGTTGAGCGCCTTGGCATGAACCCGAATTGGTTGTCCGAAACCCGTGTCTCTTGCCTCAATCTATGCTCAATGACTCTCTCCCAAAGCTTCATTGTATGACTCATTAGCTTAATACACCTATAGTTCATGCAATTTTGTACATCGCCCTTATTCTTGTAGATAGGCACCAAAGTGCTCGTTCGCCACTCATTTGGCATCTTCTTCGTTTTCAAAATCCTATTGAAAAGGTCAGTGAACCATGTTATACCTGTCTCTCCCAAAACTTTCCACACTTCGATTGGTATATCGTCTGGGCCTACTGCTTTTCTATGCTTCATCTTCTTCAAAGCTACAACCACTTCTTCCTTCCGGATTCTACGATAAAAAGAGTAGTTTCTACACTCTTCTGAGTTACTCAACTCCCCTAAAGAAGCACTCCTTTCATGTCTTTCATTGAAAAGATTATGAAAATAACCTTTCCATTTGTCTTTAACCGCGTTCTCTGTAGCAAGAACCTTTCCATCCTCATCCTTGATGCACCTCACTTGGTTTAGGTCCCTTGTCTTCTTTTCCCTTGCTCTAGCTAGTTTATAGATATCCAACTCTCCTTCTTTGGTATCTAGTCGCTTATACATATCGTCATAAGCCGCTAACTTAGCTTCTCTCACAGCTTTCTTCGCCTCTTGCTTCGCTTTTCTATACCTTTCACCATTTTCATCGGTCCTATCCTTGTATAAGGCTTTACAACATTCCTTCTTAGCCTTCACCTTTGTTTGTACCTCCTCATTCCACCACCAAGATTCCTTTTGGTGTGGGGCAAAGCCCTTGGACTCTCCTAATACCTCTTTTGCTACTTTTCGGTTACAACTAGCCATGGAATCCCACATTTGGTTAGCTTCCCCCTCTCTATCCCACACACACTGGGTGATTATTTTCTCTTTGAAAATTGCTTGTTTTTCTTCTTTTAGATTCCACCATCTAGTCCTTGGACACTTCCAAGTCTTGTTCTTTTTTCTCACTCTTTTGATATGTACATCCATCACCAACAAGCGATGTTGATTAGCCACGCTCTCTCCTGGTATAACTTTGCAATCCTTACAAGTTATACAATCCCCTTTCCTCATTAGAAGAAAATCTATTTGTGTTTTTGACGACCCACTCTTGTAGGTGATCACATGTTCTTCTCTCTTCTTAAAGAAGGTGTTGGCTAAGAAGAGATCATATGCCATTGCAAAATCCAAGATAGCTTCCCCATCCTCGTTTCTCTCCCCAAAACCATGGCCACCATGAAAACCTCCATAGTTGCCTGTCTCCCTGCCCACGTGTCCATTTAAATCTCCTCCTATAAATAACTTCTCCGTCTGAGCAATTCCTTGCACCAAGTCTCCAAGGTCTTCCCAAAATTTCTCCTTCGAACTCATATCCAACCCTACTTGAGGTGCGTACGCACTAATCACATTGATAAGTTCTTGTCCTATTACAATCTTGATTGCCATGATTCTATCTCCTACCCTCTTGACATCTACAACATCTTGTGTCAAGGTCTTGTCCACTATGATGCCAACACCGTTTCTCGTTCTATTTGTGCCCGAATACCATAGTTTAAACCCTGAGTTTTCTAGATCCTTTGCCTTACGCCCAACCCACTTAGTTTCTTGTAGGCACATAATATTTATCCTTCTCCTCACCATAACTTTTACTACTTCCATAGATTTTCCCGTCAAGGTTCCTATATTCCACGTTCCCTAAACGCATTTTGCTCTCTTGAACTCTACCCTTCTGTCCTAGCTTCTTCACCCTTCCCCGTCTAATAGGATCAAAGTACTTCTTTTGTGTGTCCCGTGTAAAGTTGATAGGAGCATATGCTCCCAAACAACTTTGAGTGGAGTCGTTCGAAAAGAAGTTTCTATAGCCCCATTGCTCATTTAACACTGCATCCGGGTGCCGATGGAGATACAGTGACCCTTGCTCACTTATCACTGTGCTCGGGCCACACAGCGCGCCACTTACGGGTGACGCCCTAGCTTTAGCGCGATTTCGTTCTGGATTCATTTTCATAAGGATTCGACGTAATCATGGAGTGCCGGCTGTCGACTATCTGACGCCCTCCCCCTCCTCCTTTATCCGGGCTTGGGACCGGCAATGTAAGATAAACTTACACGACGGAGTTAAATTTTATCTCTTCTTCTAAGAAAAAAAAAGAGAAGAGAATTATAATAATGTTTGATGCTAGGGGTAGGAGCCTAGGAGATAACATCTAATTGGTAGAATGACATAACAGTCGACGGTGCTTTTGTATCCTTCTGAGTAGGTGTTATAGGAGGGCGAGTTGATATTTTGCTATATCTTGCTGAAGTGAGTTTTAAGAACTTGGTGTTTCTTATTTAGTCTTTTTGCCCTGTCTGAAATGTTTACTGACTGATCTGTCATCTGTTGTACAGGCATAACCCCAGTTTGCTATTATCTAAAAACAACATGACAAGAATGCCTAGTACCGTCAAAAAGATGTCTACTTCCCAATATATGGGGGCTATAACATTATGGAGCCGAGGTCTAGGCATTTTCCAAGTTGATATTATTTTGTAACAAAAAGTGCCGACATATTCAGTGGCTCATTCAGGTCATTAATCTTCAGGACCTCTCATCGAATTGCTTTAACTCCCATATTTGGGTTATATGGTGAGTGAGCAATGCATGCTAGAGAAACATGGATTGGTTCTTAGAATGGATAACATTGATCTTTATTGAATTTAAAAACCTCAAATGTATGATTCAAACGACAATAATCTATAACTCTTACTTTATATTTTGTAATTTGCTTATCCCGGAATGGCAGATAAAAAGGCATTACAATCTAGAGACTGTTTGCTGTTTGTTTTGTAAAATAACCAGTTCCTTCCTTAAGATTTTACTTGCTGGTGACCGCGGAATGGCAGAGATAAAGTCCACTCTTCTTACTTTTTGTAGGGAGCCACCTGAAAATTTCGAGTACAGAAGTTAGAAGACTGTTTCTCAAGATTAGTGGCTACTGAAAAAGGATGCAGAATGAGCTCAAAGTACCTGGCCGGCAACAAATTGGATGACTTGGTCTTCAGTGAGTCCATCCGGACTAGCTGCTCTCACCACATATGCCATTGGTATTTGTCCTGCTTCTTCGTCTTCAACACTGCATCATTTTTAGTCGTATTATATACACAGATAGATATAGATATAGATATGGATGCAGATATAAGGAGCTTGTTCGCATTTAGAAAGAGGGAGGTAAGCAACACACGGTGTAATGGCTGCATCAAGAATTTGAGGATGACTCAAAAGTATGGCCTCCAATTCCGCCGGAGCAACTTGATATCCATTATGCTTGATGAGCTCCTTTATCCGATCAACGATGAAAAGGAAGCCTTCCTCATCAAAATAGCAAAGATCACCAGTTTTCAGCCAGCCATTTGAGTCAATAGTTGCAAGTGTTGATTCCACATTCCCCAAATACTCTCTCATAATAGTAGGGCTCTTTAGCCACAGCTCTCCTTCCTTATATGGCGGCAAGGCCTCCCCGGTTTCGATATCCACTATCTTAGCAGAAAAACCTGGCAGCAGCACCCCACAAGAGGCGGAGTGAGCCTTTGCCTGCTTGTCTGAAATGAAAATAGTTGCTGCACCACAGCTTTCCGTTAGGCCATAGCCTGGCCTCATCTCAACCCAAGGAAACCGCTCTCTAAACTCATCAATCAATTCTTTGCTCAACGGTGCAGCCCCTGAGCTCACCCTCCTCAGAGACGACAAGTCGCAGGCAGCTTTGCTTGCGTACTTTACTAGTCCAAGAATCACCGGAGGCACAGCTGGTATGTTGCTCACTTTGTGAGTTTTTATAGCATCCAACATGGTGTTGAACTCAAACCTTTGCATCAAAACAGTGGTGGTTCCTGCGCAAAACAATCCAAGGCCGAAGAAAGCAAGCCCATAGATGTGGAACATAGGAATGAAGCACAAAAACACATCGTCCTGTGCTGATGTTTTGTCCACCGTCCATCTGAGCATTGTGATAATGGCAATGAAATTTGCATGTGTTAGAACTACACCTTTACTTGTCCCAGTAGTCCCTGAGGAGTACAAAATAGCAGCAGTGTCTGACTGAGTCGGACGGGCTTGCATTAACTCGGTTGGAATGGGATCATAACCTTCAATCAACTGTTCAATGGTGAGTGAGTCATCACCACTCAACGGCCTTGATGTTAATATTGTAGGCACCCCAGTTGGGACCAATTTGTGAAGCTCCTCAGGAGATGAAATAGCAAGCTTGGCGCCCGAATCGCGAACTTGCTTGCCGATTTCTGACTCGGTGTTGATTGGATTTGCCGTGGTTAAAATTGCACCAATTGACAACACTGCCAGGCATATGGTTGGGTACAAAAGTGAGTTAGGTGACAAGAGAAAAACCACATCCCCTTTTCTAACACCAAGTGCCTGGTACAAGCCTGAAGCAAGAGCATGAATTGAATGAAGAAGCTGTTCATAGGTGACTCGTTCGTGGTGGCCGAGTCAATGAGTGCAACTCGCGACTCGGCCTCATGATGGGGCGGAAACTGCGACAAAACAAATGTGGCCGTGTCGAGGTTATGCTTGGCGGGGATTTTGTAACGGGGACCAAGGTTGAGAGGGGAGTGATATATTCCGGTTTTTGGATCGAAACCATTTGTAGTACTTCCGGCAATGTGGACTCGATCATCCCCGCCGGAGAACTCTTGGAGAGACATTATGCTTTTGAAACTGATATGTGGCGAATGTGTTGTGTTAAAGTTTGGTGCAACATAATGCAGATATATAGGACAGGATTTTGGGTTATATTATTGTTGTTTGAGTATGACATTCGAGGTTTAACATTGTCAAAAACGTCAATGAAAGTTGGATTATCGTTAATTGCTTCAAACATTCATATGTTCTCAGTGGCCGGCAGAACAATTCAACGGAATATTCACTGAATAAATCTATGTTTTATTTTTTGCCTTAAAACATTCATAGATTTCATATATCGGCCGTACAGAAAGAAAAAAAAAACAAAAACAAAAGAAATGTATTAAAAGGGTTGATGAATCATAATCCGCGTTGTAAACCCTAAATTACAGGAAGGGGGTTTTGAACTTGGGTGCAGTCGGGAAAGTAGACGGCTCTAGTCATTTCGAACTTGGGTGCGGCGAGAAGGGGAATATGCGGATGTAGTCAATTGAGCTAAGACTAAGTCCGATAAACAAGATATTGATGATTTGAGTTTTTGGAGATTGTGATGGCATTCGGCAGCAGCCTGAATCCATAAGAAAGTTGTTTGGAAATCAAGCTGGCATTAGCACTGTGCAGAGGAATAAGTTTTAAGGTTGCAGCTGGCATTTCAAAATTTAAGGAAGATATTAAAAAGTCGTTGAACTTGCGTAGTGAGTTGATAATAATGCTTTTGTAAACAACTTAAATTATGAACATATGAGTTTAAAGACAAAGGCTTCATCCAATACGCAATCCACCACTCGTTTGTATGTCTTCTTCTCTATGGATTCACGCAAACAAACAAAAAACATAATTAATTGAAAACCTTTTTAAATGAATAATATATAGATAGATATATATATATATATATATATATATATATATATATATATATATATATATATATATATATATATATATATATAATCGGGGGGACATCGAACACACAATTTGACACTTTTTTTTTTTGATAGGAAAAAAAAGATTTCATTAAACAGAAAAGTTTCTAGTACAACCGATTCCCAAACAATCAAATCTAAAAACATCCAAGGCCAAAGCAGGTAGACAATAATCCCAAAAATATGGATGTTGTGCTTGAGCACCAAATGAAACAAATAAAATGAAAGAAATAACTCTCAATTTATTAACTGATTGAGATAACAAATGTACAAAGAATAATCTCACAAATTGGCTCACTCAAATTATTTCTACGTGAGCTCCTTTTATTACAAAACAAATGGTTTGCATTCTAATATGTAAAGCCATAAACAAGTTTGTGATTGAGAGAAAAATAAGGATAACCAATACAAAGTAATTGACCAAGATTTATATCGAGTCACATGTCAACAATCTCCACCTCGGCGAGATTCGTAATCACGAACATATTCAGGCACATAGTATATGAGCTATGTTCAAACAATGCTCAAACTTGGTAGGTCCGAGCGGTTTAGTTAACATATCAGCTGGATTATTTGCAGTTGGAACTTTCTGAAGAATAATCTTTCTTTTGGACAAAATCTCACGAATAAAATGAAACCGAACATCGATATGCTTTGTCCTCGAATGATAAACTTGGTATTTAGACAAGTGAATAGCACTTTGACTATCACAATGTAGCTCCACTTGCTTTTGATAAATTCCTAGATTCTTTGTTAGTCCATGTATCCAAATGACCTCCTTTACAGCTTCTGCAATAGCCATATATTCGGCCTCCGTTGTTGACAAAGAGATTGTGGATTGTAGTGTGGACCTCCAACAACTGGCCATTTGGCCATGGTAAATAAGTAGCCAGTAGTCAATCTTCTTTTATCCAAATCTCCAGCATAGTCAGAATCAACATATCCAACCACAAAATTCTCAAAACTACTATCACTTTGCTGAAAACATAAGCTGACATCTCTAATCCCATGTAGGTATCTTAGAATCCACTTAGCTGCTTGCCAATGTTTTTTTCCTAGATTGTGCATATAGCGACTAACCAAACCAACGACATGAGCAATATCTGGTCGAGAATATACCATAATATACATCAAGCCACCAACCAAATTAGAATATGGAATATTCTTCATCTGCAGCTTCTCTTCATTGTTTTTTTGGAGATAACAAAGCACTCAACTTAAAGTGAAGAGCCATTAGAGTACTTACATGTCTGGTGGCATCATTAATACCAAAACATTGAAGCAATTTACACAAATATTGCTTTTGTGTAAGATACACCAAGCATTTTTCTCGGTTACGAATAATTTCCATACCGAGTACCTTTTTCGCTTCACCAAGATCTTTCATCTCAAACTTGTTCTTCATCTGTGCTTTCAACTTTTCAATCTCCTTAACATTCTTTGATGCAATTAACATATCATCAACATACAATAATAAATAAATGAAGGATCCATCTTGCAACTTTTTGAAATAAACACAATGATCATATTGACTTCTTAAATAGTGTTGACCTTTCATGAATTCATCAAACTTCAAATACCACTGTCTTGGAGATTGCTTCAATTCATACAAAGACTTATTCAGTTTACAAACACATTTCTCTTTTCCAGTTACCTGATACCGATCAGGCTGAGACATGTAAATTTCTTCATCAAGATCTTCTTGTAAGAAAGTCGTCTTAGCATCAAGTTGCACTAGTTCAAGATCAAATTGTGCAACAAAGGCTAACATAATACGAATAGATGAATGCTTCACAACAGGAGAAAATACTTCATTATAATCAATACCTTCATTTTGTGCATATCCTTTTGCTACCACTCGTGCTTTGAATCTTACATTGTCTTCTCCTGGACGACTTTCCTTTTTAGTATACACCCACTTGCAGCCAATAACTCTCTTACTGGGAGGCAATTGAACTAACTCCCAAGTGTTGTTCTTCACAAGAGAATTCATTTCTTCATCCATAGCCTTACCCCATTCTGTATTTTTAAAGCGGTTCATAGCTTCCTTATAACTTTCTGGGATTTCTGCATTAATAATAGGAAGAGCATAAGCAACATAATCACTATATCTTACTGGTCTCTTTGTGTTTCTCTTGCCTTTGCTTGTAGCAATGCACTCTATAACTGGAGGCTATTGGGTATAAGCCTCTTCTTCATCATGGGAAGAGACATCTTTATCTTCTTGACCTTCATTTACTTTTTGTTCAATCAAAACAGGCAGTGGAGTAGGTAGCAATCTTTTCAAACACTTGTCTTTGAGTTGCTTTGTAACATAGAAGTTTCGTCAAAAGTCACATCTCTGCTGATTACAAGTTTCTTCAAATCTGGACACCACAAATGGTAACCTTTGACGCCGCTGTTAAAGCCCACAAAATAGCCTTCTTGGCTCTTGGATCAAGCTTACTTTGAGTCACATGGAAATAAACGAACAACCAAAAATATGAAGAAAATCATAATCAGAAGCTCGTTTTCCAGTCCACTTCTCAATAGGTGTTTTAAATTCAATTGCAAACGAAGGTAAACGATTGATAATGTGACAAGCATATGTAATTGTCTTTGCCCAAAATGCCTTACTTAAACCAGATTGAGCCAACATGCATCTAACTTTTTTGAGTAACGTTCTGTTTAACCTTTCAGCAACTCCATTTTGTTGGGGAGTACCAAGAACAGTGAAATGCCTTATTATACCTTCTTCTCTACAAACTTTGAAAAATGAATCAGAGGTGTATTCACCACCATTATCTAACCTCAAAAATTTAATTTTCTTACCAGTTTGGTTTTCAACCATTTTCTTCTAGTTTAAGAAAATATTTAACACCTCATCTTTGTGTTCCATTGTATAAACCCAAGCTCTTCTAGAGTAGTCATCAACAAAAGTTACAAACCAGTGCTTACCACTCAATGATGTAGTCTTGGTGGGACCCCAAACATCTGAATGCACATAATCTATGATTCCTTTAGTTTGATGCACAACAATACCAAATTTAACTCTGGTTTGCTTACCCAAGACAAAATGCTCGCAAAAGTCGAGCTTGCAAGTTTTGGCTCCTTTCAGCAGTCCTTGTTTCAGAAGGGCTTGAAGAGCTTTTTCACCAGTATGTCCAAGTTTCATATGCCATAACTTGGTGTTGTCAGTATCTGGTTTTTCAGAAATTATGGCTGCACCACCTAAAAATGTTTTCCCCTGCAGGAAATATATATTCTGCTTTCGGATTCCCTTCATCGTAACCAAAGCACCTTTAGAAACTTTTAGAATACTATCTGACATATTTACATTAAACCCATTGCTTTCCAAGGCATCCAAAGAAATTAAAATTTTCTTCAAAGCAAGAACATACCACACATTGGACAACTCTCTAACGATGCCATCATGGTATTTCAACTTAATTGTTCATACTCTATTTTTATCACATGCATAATCATTACCCAATAAAACAGTTCCCGCCTTTACAACTTCTAGATTAGTAAACCAATTTCGATTTGGACACATATGATGAGAACAACAAGAATCCAAAATCCATACATCAGAATCACAAGCAGAAGAATAGCCAAAGCATAATCAGATTCATCGCCACTAAGTGCAACGTTAGCATTGGTGTTTCTATTATTCTTCTGCAGCTTAGGGCAATCATTTATCCAATGTCCCTTTGTATGACAAAATGCACATTCATCCTTGTCTAATATTTTTCTATTTTGTGAGTTACCTCGTGGTCGAGATTGAGATCTTCTTCTGTTATTAAATCTCCGTCTTTCATTCATTCTGTCTCCAACAAACAAAGCATTTGATGCTGTATTCTGGACTTGCTTATCTATGGATTCACGCAAACAAACAAAAAACATAATTAATTGAAACCCTTTTAAATGAATAATATATATATATATATATAGAATCGGGGGGACATCGAACACACAATTTGACACTTTTTTTTTTTGATAGGAAAAAAAAAGATTTCATTAAACAGAAATGTTTCTAGTACAACCGATTCCCAAACAATCAAATCTAGAAACATACAAGGCCGAAGCAGGTAGACAATAATCTCAAAAATATAGATGTTGTGCTTGAGCACCAAATGAAACAAATAAAATGAAAGAAATAACTCTCAATTTATTAACTGATTGAGATAACAAATGTACAAAGAATAATCTCACAAATTGGCTCACTCAAATTATTTCTATGTGAGCTCCTTTTATTACAAAACAAATGGTTTGCCTTCTAATACGTAATGTCATAAACAAGTTTGTGATTGAGAGAAAAACAAGGATAACCAATACAAAGTAATTGACCAAGATTTATATCGAGCC